ATTGACATACTCTCCCAAATATGTGCTTGCTCTACTAAAGCCCTAACAACATGGTATTGTAACTGTGACATCTGCCTATGAGACTGCGTTGGCGCCCTTCATCTTACTAACTTGAGTTTCTCAAAGGGCATAGTTTATTTTGTATCCCCTTCTCAGAGCTTGGTGACAAGCCTGGCCAATGCTCCTTACAGAAATGAACGAGCAGGAGACTTGGAGGATCAGATCCCAACCCTAAGAGGCCCAAGCCCACAAGGGGCCACAGAACAGGGGGAATAACACTGAAGACTGCTTTGAGGCACATGATAAGGTGAGTTATATGGTCTCCATTTTATATGTGAGGAAACAGGCTCAAAGAGGTATAGTCACAAAGGCCAGGCCTAAGGCCTAGTGTTCCTTGAAGCTTCACATCAGGGCTGTTTGGTCTTCCAAGTCCATCCCCTACTTAGTGAGTTCCTTTCCCAGTGTCCCAAAGGGTGACAAGGGCATCTGTCTAGTATCTTCAGGGGCTGCTTGGCCAGCCTTTCCCCTTTGCTTGAGCCTAGTCTATAATTGAAGTTTTCCTCAACATACTGAACTCTGCCCCTGTAGCTTGATAGACCAAACTCTGTCCTTCCTTGGGCTTTCAGGAAGACACTGAAGAGGAAGGCTTGCTAGGCCAAGCCTCTCAGTCAGGGTCGTCCCTCATGTACTAAGGATAGCACTCCCTAGATCTTTTTTGTTTTCAGAGCAGTGAGTCATTTATTTTGGTGGGGTGGGAGCAACACAGTACCAGCAGTCTGGATTCTGGTTCTGCCAACCACCTGGGCATGCATGACAATCTTCTCCGGCCTCCTTCCCAGCATCTGTTCCAAGGAGACATAGTTTCCTTTCTATCCTCTCTCACTACTTCCTCTAGCCCCAGCCCACTCTTCTCCTGCCTTCCCCCTCCTCACCTATGGGTTGCTCCTTCCATCTACTTCCCATTCCCAGTGAGCTAGGCAGATTAGTGGCCTTCTTAGCAGCCCAACTACTCTCACTGCTCAAATTCTGGGCTGTTTCCTGCTGAACAAATCCCATCTTAAACAAGGTTTGGACTGAGTCACTGTCCAATTTCTATCAAGTGTTTATTTGAGATGGTTCCCAGTTAGTTGGAAACTGAAAAGTTCTCAGGACTAAGTTTGGGGGCCTGCCACCAGCAACTCAGCCTTAGATCTCCCAATGGTTAGTACTCTCACTTTAAATAGACTGACCTCTTTTGCCCAAAAAAAGTCTTTTTGAGTTCTGACTCTAGGGCAGCCAGATATTGGTGGTCCTTCATTTTACTTTCAACCCAATCTCTTTATTTGTAAGAACAGTGATGCTTGATTAGATATAAGAAATAATATATTTATTACTTCACTGCTCAAAATTTACACTTTACCTTCAGGTCTCAGCCTGAATGTCAGTCCTCCCAGGCCAGCATCAAATCCTTCCAAGACTCTTCTAGCACCTGCCACAGTCCATACTTGTGTATCTCTGGAATTATGTGCTCAGTGCCATCCACTTTTCTTCCGTTAGCCAGGAGGACTCCCTGATGACAGAGACTGTCTACTGTGTGGTCTAAGGCCTAGTCCTGCCTGAGATTCTGACAAATACCAGCTAGATAAGTAACAATGCAGACTTCCCTTCCAGGGAGGAAAAACCCTCATGCCATGCCTTCCAGGAACTCAGTCACAAAGAGGAAGTCTTCCTAGCACCAGCTGTGGACTGTGAAGTGCTCTAGGAAATCTCTAAGGAGAAGAAACCCAGAAACGCTTCCCAACAGAGGCAGTACCTGGGCTCACGTGGTATACTGACTAAGCATACAGCACACACCCAGGCTATACTGAAAATACCCTGCCACCTGCTCAGAGGATAGCCACCTTCCTAAAGTGAGTCCAGGAGGACCCTATGATCCTGGAATAAAAAACTCTCAGGATTTTAGGGCTGGAAAAACTATCTTTCCTCCAAAGGCTCCATTTTACCTTTAAGGAAACTGAGGCCCAGAGTAGGGCATAGACCAGTTCCAAAAGAGGCCCAAGCCTAGGTCTCATGGGGTTGTGTGGTTGGTTACTGGGTACCACGTGTATACCATTTTTATACCAGGAGTCACAGTGATGAACAGAATTGCAAACCATGGTTTGTCTAAGGTCTATTGTCCCTCCTTCTGGAGAAGAGGTATCTTCTTTTCACTTTCCTGCAAGGCTTTTCGGGAAGAGGGGTTGGGTTTCCAGGTGGGAAATGCTGTCAGGCAGACAGAATGCTGATGTGGCAGGGACCTTGGGAGGGTGGGCTGCAGTCTCCCTGCTGGAAAAGGCTACAAATCTTTCAGAGGGAGGCCTATTTGTGACTTTTAAGCAGGCTTAACCTAAAACAAAGCTGCTGAGGGAGAACAAAATAAGCAATAATCTTGGCTTCATTTATCATCCAGGTGCCTCCACAGGCGAGTAAGGACACAAAAGTCTGTTTATTTGTTTTGTTTTTGGAATTTGCAATTGTCTATTTTGTCAAGTCTTCCCACTAGGCTAGAATCATGAGGTCTTGGAGAGTCAGACCTGGGTCATGCCCCTGAAATCCCCCGAAAGCCTAGTACAGGGTCTCAGTGTTTGTTGGACAGACTATCCTTTCCACATGTGTAACTTCTCAGCTTGTCAAGACTGCAGAACCACAAGATAGATCCAGAAACCTGGGGCGGGGGTGGGGGTGGGGTGGGGGTGGGGGATTTAGAGATAAAAGCACCAAAGAATCAAGTAGAAAAAATACCCAGGAGATAGGATCAATAAAAGTTTGGCTCTCTGAAAATACCTCTAAAACAGACAAATCTTTGGTAAGTTTTGATCAAGAAGAAAAAGCATGGATAAGCAATGTTAGGAATGTAAAAAGGGATAAAGTAACAAAGGGCAGATTTTAAAAGCCAGGGAAAAACTGCACACAACTTTATAGTAATTGAATTAAGTCTAGGTAAGACAGATGATCCTCAGAATTACCAAAGACCTTCACAACTTTTACCTCAGTAGCTTCTACAACAGTCCAGTGCCTTGAGTAGACAGTGCTCCTATTATGCCTTCTGAAAGAAAGGAGTGACTCAGAGGTGAATGCCCAGCACAGGGCTCTGACAAACTTCCCCACCTTGTGTCACAGATCATGGCCAGGAGAGCATGTGCACATCTGCCACAGGGATCCATACCACTCTTGCGCTTCTAGCCATCACTGAAGTCTGCTGGTTGGACAGTCAGTCTTATTTTTCCACGTGAAATGCCATGAGGGGTTTCACTGTATTTTTACTTCAAAAGCACATAAAAATCCTTGATGATTAGAGCTCCAGCTGTCTTAACTTGTTTGTCAAGGGATCAGTTACTCAAATCTCCTATGGAGGGAAACAATTTCAGGCGGGAAGCCATGGGAGCTGAGAAACACCAATGTCTCATCTCTAAAAACTTTTCAGACTCCCTCCTGTTTACTGCCTGGCCTGCCCTCTTCTCTCCCTCCCCAAGATCCACCATCTGCTCTCCAGAGAGCAGATCAAATTTTCAGGCTAAGGTAGTGTGGCGCCAAGGACTCAGCCCCTTCATCTTTCCCCCGGCCCCCACTAACTCAGAAATCCAACACCACAACCCAAATGGACTGCAGTCACATAAAACCACAAAGTAAAGTTTATAAAGCTTTATTAAACATTTCAAACAGCTGAACGAACACACCAAAAAAAAAAAAAAAAAAGCTCTAGAACAGCAGTCCAAATGTTTCACAAGTGTGGTCTTGCAGTCCCATCCTCTAGATGGACTGGCTCCAGTTCTGTCCTCTGCCTGGCTCCCCTCACTCCCTCCTCAGGCAAGAGAGAGGGATGGTTCTGGGTGGAAGGACAATCATGCTAATCCCCAGTGGGTAGGGGCCAGGAGAAAGTCTTATTTGCCAACACTTGTTACTGAAGCGCAGAGGAAAACAAAAAAAGCAAGTGACAGTCACACAGTCTTCCTGTGTATTCTTCTCAAGGTACAGTCTATATGAGCAGGAACGAAGAAGCTCCTGGCGGGAGGATGATGGGCACTGCTCCCCTGTGTCTCTTCTGAACCACCTTGGAGTCCAGTGTGCTGGTCACTCGGCAATCCCCATGCTAAATAAAAGCTGCAGTGGCACCTACTACAGCTAGCTACTGCTAAACCTCAAAACCAGGACATGTTCTTTAAAGCTTCTTTAAAAGAAATATACACATATATTTACACACACACATACACGCATGTGCACACGCACGCACACACACACACGCGCACACGTGCACGCAGGGCACAATCAAAAATATCCAAACACCTATCAAGGGGATCGTGGCTACTATGAATCTCACAAATACTTCTCCATTCACTCGGCTGGGGACTGCTAGGTCTACATGAAAACATCATACCTCCATCCTGCAGAGCATGCACAGGAAACACAAGGAGGGCCCCTTCTCAGGATGGCTGAGAAAGGCAGGAGGATGGGTAAAGGAAGCAAGGCTGGGCTGGAAAGCAAGAGCCCAGACACCCAGGTGAAAGAGCAACATCTATCTGTTGCTTCTTTTAAAAATGAAGTGGAGAAAATACTGGAGGCTTGTGGACAACAAACAGTCAACATGTATATATATCTGTCTAGCCTGAACAGGGGAAGAAGGATGAAAAAGCGAGGCTCTCGGGCATCAGCAATCTCTTCAAATTCGAGATAAGTGCAAAAACGAGCAGTGTCATAGACAGGTGCTCCCCCAAAAAGGAAAGGAGTAGAAGAGAACTAAAGGGAAACCAGGGGAGGGACTGAGGAGTCAGTAACACTCTAGGAAGGAGAAAGATTCTGACAACGAGGGGTCACAGAGGTGACAATGAGACTGGCATTTTATCTGCCCGGGCCAAGCCAGGATGGTTGACTAGGATGGGTATAGATTCCTCGCATTAATGAGGCGAGGGGGTGGCCATCCTGCCAGCCAGAACCCAGATGGGGACAGAACACACACAACCACAAGACCACCCACAACTACAGGATTCTACAATAAAAGCACCAGTCAGTGCTATTATTCACATTATAAGGATAAAACATCACAGGCCGAAAAGGTGCCATCAGGAATGTGATACCCGCAGGGCTATGGAATTTGAAACTCCAATGCTTTATGACCTATGTCAATGCCTCCCCTCCCGTCTTCTGCTTCCTTGGAATGCTAACAGGACAGCTGTTAGGTGCCCACAACACCAGGGTCATGTGCTGAATCTGGAAGCGGGGAGTCGGTGCAGTGGTACAGGAAACAGTTTCCCCAGCAGCTATAACAGATGAGGAACAGGGCTGCCAGGAAAACCAAGGCACAGATTGTGCAAGGCTTCCGTTCCAGGAGAAAGCTGAGCAGGTAGAAGCCCATGAACATGGAGTGGCTGAACCACAGGGCGGGGTTGAGGGGCTTGGGGATGAGGAGGACGGGCAGCAGCCACTGGAGGCAATACATGATCTCTGCTGGGCAAGGCCTTCACCAAGGCTGCCAGGCACTGCTGCAGGAACCAACCTAATGGGAGCCAGTGGGTGTAGGTGGCTGCCCTCTGCTTTCTTCAACCCTCTCTCCAGGAGCTGAGCCGCTGTGCTCTCTGGCTGTCAGCCTGGGATCACCAAGGCAGCAGGGATCCTGAAGAGAAAAGTCAACACAACAGACAAACAGACAAAACGTACAGACAGACCAAAAAAAAAAAACAACAACAACAAAAAAAACAGGAACAGAATGTATACTTATTTGGGAAAATGAATCATGGTTAACAACAGCAAATGTGAATGCCCTTTCCTCCCTGCCCACCCTTGGGAAGTTCTACTCCTCTCCAAGTCACCAGTTCCAGAAGCTTCCTGGGATGTCTCCCTTGAAGCCTCCTAGGGTATCTCCCCTGGGCTTCCACTAGTGGGGGCCACCTCAAGAGAGCTCTTTGGCATGGTCCCACACAGTAGGCTGGCTTTGCCTGGACCCTGCCCAGCAGAGATCATGTATCGCCTCCTGAGGCTGCAGCCCGTCCTCAAAGGGCCCAGACCCCACAATACCGCCCTGTGGTTGCCACAGGACTGTCATGGGCTCTGTGCTGTGCCCCAATGTGCTAAAGAAGGGTTTTGTATCTAGTCTTTCACTGCACTGGTAGGTGCTGTACTCTGGCACAGAAGCGAGTTAAAGCAGTCAGGAGTACACTGCAGGCAAGCAATGGATCCTGGCAAACTCCTGGAAGCCATGGCAGTGATAGGATCAAATATTTTATATAAAGATGGCAGCCTGGGCTGAACTTGTCTTTTTCAAACAGCCCAATGCCATTTTGCCAAAACCAGCCAACGTCTTCAAAGTCAGTGTAGGCATAAAAATCACTGCGCTATTTTGTTCAAACTAAATTGGATCATTACACCTCCATCTGCTGCTACCATTGTATAGAATTTAACCTTTATGAGTTTTTAATCAAAATTAGTTTCTTATCCACATAGAGGCAAATGCCAGTTGGCCCCTGTGCCGGGAGCTTGCTGAAGTGAAGTGCTATAGGTGGGTGGCCAGTGTGCCAAGGGCCCTCTCCGAAGACTGTGTTTTAGGTTCCCGCCCACAAAGCCCAGCTCCTCGAGGGATCCGCAAGACATCCGCACTCTGAGGGGCCTGAAAAACCTGCGCTCCATTGGGAACGTGAAAGATGGGCACTCAGAGGTTCCTGATTCCCCTTGAAATAGCCACACCCTTAAGCAGCCACAGCAAAACCCCCGCTTCTTGCTACAGCCGCCTAGCGAAAAGGGTACAAAGAACCACATCAGCTGAGGCTGACCTACCCCAAGCCTGGGGGAGGGGTGCGGAAAACAGAGGTTCAAACCATCTGTTCGGAGGAAAACTATCCACGAACACATTCAGACTTCCCAGCCACTTCTAGAGTTCATTCCTTTCCGTGCACACAAAGGCGCCTATCTTTCCCGCACCCCTCCCATCGAACAGACATTACTGCTTTTGCACCCAGTGTAGCTCCCTGGCCCAGTTCCCTACAGTAGCCACTGCCACCACAGCAGACCCTGATTCTCACTACCATAACAGCCGGGATGTGAAGAATCAGTGAAGAGTTAGTTACACACTAAGGAACCCTCACGAAGCAGAAGGCAAGAGCTTAAAATTCCCTATCAGGAAGAGTGCTGAGCAGTGGCCTGTGAAGCTGAGGCTCCTGGAAAGGGTACCTTTTTTTGCTTTACCGGGCAGATGACCCCTCCCTAACGTCGATTTTCCATAGTAGGAGAGGTCCATTCTGGCGCGGGGCTGAGCTCAAATTTGCAGATGAGGACTTGGAAAGGGGGGCGCCACACTAAGAGGCTTGCGCCTTCTATCCCGTGGTCTATGCAGAGTCGCGTCGCCCCTCCATTTACACTGGAATTCAAAAGCGGGCATGGAGGAATCTTCTGGAAAGGGTCTAAGATGGGACTCAGGAGGCAGGGGTCGGTGTGGAAAGAGCAGATGGATTATTTTTTTTCTGTCTTTCTCCTAGCGAATGAGGAGAGATCTACTCCCCCCCCGCCCCGGTACTCCTCCTCATGAACCGACAGCGTGAGCGCGCATGCGCACTTAGGTGGCAGGCGGGTACTTAAGGCGCGGCCACCGCGGCTGCAGCAGTGCGCCCAACAGCGGACTCCAAGAGACCAGCGGACCGCGGCAAGAACCCTTGCTTTCGACCGCCTACCCACCACTCTTGGTACTATGGCGGCAGTGGCGGCAGCCTCGGCTGAACTGCTCATCATTGGCTGGTACATCTTTCGCGTACTGCTGCAGGTAAGTGTGCTGAGGCTTGGGTGGGTGAGGACTCCCAATGCACGCACCCAAAACCTACAAACCCGCGATACGACTGCCGCCTGCCAGACCCATCCTATCCCAATTGCCGCGATCCCTGTCTGCCCAAGTGCCGCTGCGGCACGACCCTCGCTGGTTCCCTGCGCCCACATCCTCAGGCAGACCCTCCCCAGTGTGCCCGCGCCAGGCCGGGAACAAAGACTCAGGGCGCGGCGGTCGCCGCGGATGATCGCCGAGGCTTTTAGCAACCTATGTGGTAAGAAAAACCACCACATCCAGACTCGACCCCAGGAGGGAGGCGGGGCACTTGTGTGTTTCAGGACTTTACAGCTTGCCTAGCAAAAAATTTCTGCCTTAAAAAAATTGCGCATTGCGGGTTAATATCCTTTAAAAAATACACAGAGATGTGTATACACACGATCATACAGCACTTGGGAGACTGGGACGAAAAATGCACTTCTCAAGTTTGAAAAGGGCACTTCTCAAAAAGAAAAAAACTTCACAAAAGAACTCCAGAATAAATTAGAGAAAACATAATCAATGAAGAAAAAGAAAAGAAAAACCATATTGCAGGAAAAAGAAATTAGATAAAAGCAGTTGGTAGAAAAAAACCGCATTAGACAAAAAGCGCACAGCAGGAAAAAATCAGACAAAGGAAATAACGGAAAAAATGGATCAGACAAAAACACTTTCAATAAAAACAATTAGAGGAAAAAGCCCTTTGCAGGAAAAATGAAAGGGGAAAAAGTGCTTCCAGAAAAGTCAAAATGTTTTATTTTTTTAAAAAGGCAAAAGTGCTTTGCATAAAAATAAATCAGAAGTGCTTTGCCCACAAAATAATTTATCCTAAAAGCTCCCTTTGCAGGAAGAATTCCCTGCTAAAAGAACCCTTTGCCAAAGGAATCGCATATTTCCTTCAAGGTGTTCCTGGAATGCTGCATTTACTGGGTAGGATTCGCTTTTCGAAATCCTCCAGGGACACAGCCCATTGCGAGAAGTGAGGTATACCTAAGTTGTGGGTCCAATCAGCTTGCCGCCATGCAGCTCTCAGCACAGTTGGAAAAGCTCCAGCTGCCCTGACTCGTGGACAAGCTGCGCCCGCACCCGCCTCTCTGGCCTATGCTGGACAGGCGGGCGGGGCAAGGGGTGGGGCGGGGGTGGGCACGGCAGCGCCACAGACTCGCAGCTGATGCACTCCACTGAGCGCGGGTCTCTCACCGCAGGTGTTCAGATACTCCCTGCAGAAGCTGGCCTACACGGTGTCGCGGACCGGGCGGCAGGTGCTGGGGGAGCGCAGGCAGCGAGCCCCCAACTGAGGCCCCAGCTCCCAGCCCTGGGCGGCCATATCATCAGGTGCTCCTGTGCATCTCATCCAGCGTGGGAGCAAGTGCCGCGCAGGAATGGGGGGTCCCCTGTGCTCCCTCGCCAGAGGAGCACTTGGCAAGGTCAGTGAGGGGCCGACAGGCCCCTGGAGAAGCAGCTCCAACAATAACATGATATTAGATCCTTTTCCAACCCCTTTGCACCGGTCCCCTTCTGGGCAGGTCAGGGAGGGAAGGGGGTTGGGGAGCAGATCTGGAGATCTGGGGATAGGCATCGCATTCTGATCTGGACCAAGTCCGGACAGCACCATTCTAGTCCCGAAGTTATGGCCATGCCAGCAGGCCCCACCACGGAGATCTAAACACACCAACCAGCAGAATGGACATTCCAACTTCACCAGCCGAAGCCTCGAATCTCAGTGCAGCAGAGAAGGCACCAATTGTGTCTGGCGTGGGGAAGGATTGGAGGGCATGGACAAGGGAAGAGGAGGGTTAAGAAACAGAGTGGGGTCCTCTCACTATCCCTTGCCTATGTCATGTATGCATTCCAGCCTTGCTGCCTTTGCTCCCTCGATTCCCCTTTTTCCCCCCGAACTGCCTCCACAAGCCCATCCCAACCCCTAAAAACGTCTCACTTGATTTGGACCTATTCAACCGGTAAATGAATCCCATCTTTACTAAAACACCTTCTCTGAATCCCCCACCCCTCACTGATCTTGCTTTCCCTGGTCTCATGCAGTTGTGGTCAATTTTGTGGTAATTGCTAATTGTACTAAGTGTGCGTTAGTTGTGTCTCCCCAGCTAGATTGTAAGCTCCTGGAGGACAGGGACCGCCTCTACAAAAAATAAAAAATAGTACCCCCTCTGCCTTGCAGTGAACCTCCAAGGTGGTGGAGGCACAACAAAAAGTTGTCTCTGTGGCTTCTTTTGTGTTCATGACACACACTTCAAAGATTGAGCTGATACACTAATTGTAGAGTGGACACACTGCTTGGCAGAGGAAGAGGGGAGATAAAATGGGAATAAACTGGGACTATCACATACCCAGCTCCATTTCAACACTATTCTGACATTAAGGACTTTATCTCCCCTCCCCAAAGAAGAAAGGTGATACCTTCACTTTCCATCCCAGAATAAGGGTCCACTTCCTCCTCCCCATAACCCAGTTCTCCATTTAGAAGCCCCAAAGAAATGAGCCTGGGGCAGGGTGGACACTGGTGTGGATAATGAGTATGGGATGAAATGTGGCATGGTACCATCTCCACCCAGCTTAATGCTCTAGGTCTTGTAACCACCAGGACTGCTCCTAGGCCATCCTGCCTGGCCTTGTTATTTTCTAGGCTCTCACCCTTGAAACTTCTATCCTACACATTCTCTCCAGTGCTGGTTCCCTGCTTTTCTTAGCACTAGCCTTCCTATCCTTAGGGTGCACTTACCAAGTCCCTGTCCCTAGGCTCTCCCCTGACACCAAGTCAGGGCTGGCAGGCTGGCTGCTCTGTTCCCCTCTTCAGTGAGCCAAGGCTCTTTTTACACAGGGTCAGCTGACTGCCTCACCAAAAGTCCCCTGCCACCTGTTCAGCCTCATCTCTGGCTTTATATGTCTCTGTCACCATACACTTGTTCCTGGGTCAACATGAAGGGAGGGAGCTGGAAGGTCATAAATCTCTTCCTGCCACTTCCTAACATCCCTTAGTCATAGTTGTCACATTGGAGTACAAAGCACTTCACCCCCTTGAACCTGAATTTCCCTCCCCTATGCAAGGGCCTTAAGTTTCTCTGCCCAATCACCAGCACCTCTAAAGACACCTACAACTTATCTCAGCATCAGAATTATGGGGCAAGGGGTGCAGATTTTGGTCTGGTCATGGTTTTACCATCAATCAAATCAGCTTAGGCAACACAGCCCGGTCACCTCCCACCTCTCACCTTTAGTTCCCCTCTAAAATTCTGAATCCCCAGAGGCTAGAAACATTTTGTCAAAATAGCAATCAAGAGTCATCAGGATTTGGGTGAGATGTGCAATCTGAGACTCCATCTTCCTTATTGGGGGGGTCATAGCAGCTACCACAGCCTAAAGGTGAAGCAGGTCTCTTCTTGCCCAGTGACTTAGCCGAAGGCAATGCCCATACCTCTTCCCTCCTGAAGCTCTTATTTTGGACAGGCCTGAAGGCTGAAGTTTCTGCAGTTTTCCACACTAAGCCAAGAAACATCTATATATTTCAGTGTGTGTGTTTTGCGGTACCAGGGATCGAACTCAGGACCTTGAGCTTGCAAGGCAGGCTGGGCTCCACTGAGCTAAATCCCCGGCCCTCAACATGTATTCTCAATGAAGACTGTCATCCCCTCAGAGGCTTCCAGGGTGTGCCTACTGTTCCACTGCCCCAGATGCGCTAACATCAGCTCAGTTAGAAAGCAGCACTGTTTATGGATGAAGGCCAGAGCAGCATGGGTCTGGCTGCTGTGGACACAGCACCTCCTACACTCCTTACCCCCAAGAAGGCTGGAGGCTTCTGGTAACCCCCAGGGCTTTCCTGATGATCTTGGCAAAGCCCCTTTCCTCCATGCATCCATCTAACAGCAGGGCTCTGAATGTGGCATGGTAAGATGACAGACTTCCAGGAGATAAGGGCTGCCTTGGTGGCGTGTATCCCATAGGTGGGCCTGCGTGTGCAACTGTCTACTTCTGCTTTCATTCCCTACCCTCCAACCCTCCTGTTCTGGCAACAAACTTAACCCACCAGAGAAGACAAAAGGAATGTGTTCACTTTCTATCCTCATGCAATGGCAAGAAGTCTGATCCAAATATATCTTGTTTATGAAATGTTTTCCACAAGCTATACCATTAAAACATTTTATTCTTAGAGAGCAATGGGATGTTTTCATTTTATTACAAAGCCTTAGTACACAGAGCTAAATGTCCCTTTTCCCTAAACCACCCCACCCCCAACAAGGCCAATGACTGAGCAAGTGACTTGTAAGGAGACTGGAATGGCTTTGTGGGACTCTAGCCACAGGCCAGACCCTTGGGACTAATGCCTAACGAGCTGAACTTAAATCTAGGGGTGAGGAGTTGGGTACAAGTTTCAGAAGTGTGGGGTGCTATGTGACACTGTCACTTCTATCTGTGGAGTACATGAGTGTCTGTGTTGGGAGCAGGGCAAAAACAAGTTTCTTGAGGTTCAACTGTAGGGCCAGCAATAGCTTAGTACACATGGCTTAAGCAGGTTTGTTGTGAGCCATTTATGAGGCCATCTATTTTCAAACTTGTATTTTCTCAGGAGCAGTACTCCAAAGGGAGATTCTGAATTTGCAGTTAATTTCCCCCCAGAGATTTAATCGTGTGCACACATGTGCACACACACAGTCTAAGAGTTTCTTTTTCCAGGGGGGACCTCTCACTTCCTCCATATGCCCCTGAGACATGTTGTCACCATTCTCTCTGGGAATGATTCCCTTTATCTTCCCATCTCCCCCTCCCATGGGGCCCATACTCCAGCAGGATCCAGATTCCTGAGCATTTTCTGAGCAGGAAGTGAGAAAGGCTGGTAACACATGGCTCTGGGTGTATCACACAGTGACAGGCTTGAAATGGAATGCATGTGTTTCAAAGATAGGAGAACAACGACAACAAAAGGCAGCCTAACCCAGATTCCACTATGAAACAACATATTACAGAGAAAAGGTTAAACTCTTCTTGGCAGCAACTCTAAGACAACCAATTTTGGATACAGAATTGGTCTGATCACTGGAAACTGACCAAGCTTCTAGCAACCAAATCTTCTAACTGATTTGCTTGACGTTAATCTCTGATTTAAAATAAACAAACATGATCTAACACGCGGTATTAGCGCTTAAGTCGAGATTTTTTTTTGGTCCCGGCTTTGATGTTGCCATCCAGAAGGCTGATGGGATGGTTGGAACATGTCAGGCAGGGCAGAGAAGCCGTCCCCAACATGCCAGTTCCCTGAAAGGGATAAAAGACGATCCAAACCTATTAACAAAAAAGACCATTTCTTTCCTAGGACAGACCCCAGTTTCCCCAACATTAACTGTTGAAAAGGAACAAGGAGTCCTGGGAGGAAACTAAAAGAGGTTTGTAAGGAGAAAGGAAAAAGCAACTGTCCCCATCCCCCATTCCTCCTTTCCAGGCATTCTGTTCCTTCAGCCGCCCTTGAGGGCCATTCCCCATATACTGGAGGAAAGGGAACGGTTTCTAGACTTAATACAAAGTTAGCGAGCGTGACTAGCGCTCGTGATCCGAAGCAGACCGTCGACCTATCCGCCAGACACCTGGGCCCTTTTCTTCCTTCTTCCTAAGCCCCATCTGATTTTTAAGAATGTAATTGAAGTGGCGGGTAAAGAGTGATAGAACTGTCACAAGCTGGGGCCCCTGCCAAGGGACCTGGGCCGAAGAGGTGAAGGGGCACTCTTCAGCGTCCCCCACCCCGGACTCTGCCCCATCCCGGGAGGGAGCTGACCTTGGAGGCCAGAGCGAGAACCCAGGATTCTGGTCCCACCCTTGGGCTGGGAAAGACCACCAAGGCCCAGGCTGGGGCGAAGCAGAGCAATCACCTGACGTCGGGTAGGGATGCCCCCACCCCCGGGTGCGCAGAGGGAAAACCCCAGTGAGGGACCCAGCGACGCCTAAGGTGACCGCGAAGGGACAACATGGCGGCGCGGGCGCACCGAGGGCTTTTCATCCCGCCCCTAGCAGGCTGACGCCACGGTACCTGCGAGCCCTGCCATGGCGCCGCCGCCCCTGCCGCCGTCGCTGCTGCAGCCTGTCTCCACCTCAGCTCGCCACCGACGCCGCAGAAGCTGAGGGAGACGCCCCCTTCGTCTTCCAGTGGAGCCGGCAGAGGACCCTCCTCGTAGGGCTGGGCTATCTACAGTGGACGCCCGATCACATGGCACAAAGTTGTATCATCTTCGCTCGAGTTCCCCTCACTTTCTGCCACAGAAGACCCTTTGAGAGCTTTCTGCTTACCTTTACGAAATTATCTTGAGCCTATGTCTTTAAATCCGAAGGATTTTTAGTCAGGCGCATTCTGGCCAGCCCCAAGCCACGGCGCCCATGGTCCCCTCATGCATATGCAGCAGATTGTGATCTTTACGTTTTTCCGAGCAGAGTGTGGTCTAGACACTGGTGTGGGAACCCTTCTTTGCTTTACCTCGCTTACTCCGGGATCCGTGTGCTCCAGGGACACTCACGTGGCGCAGTGTCTGCCCCCTCCCTGTCCCTTTTTATCGTGGGGAAAGTTGCAGGCTCATAATGTGAGATCTGTTCCTCGCCCAGGACCTTGGGCAAGCAAGTCACTCGCCAATCCTGACTCTCCCAGCTTCCTCGGGCCTGACGAGTTGTAATAGGCGCTGCTGAGTCAGTGTATTCATTTATGAGCTAATTAGGTAGGTTCGTTGAGCGCCTACTATGTTCAGGCACAATGCTGAAGGGTGGTCGGTGGAGTGAGTGAAGAGTTTGGCTTTGACTTGCAGGCTCTGACAGTCGTAATGGGTTGAGGTGGGAAGAGGAAAGACAAGCAGCAAATAATCAATGTATATGTTAATAATTATAATCAAGCCGATACTTAATTATGCATCATGGAAAGTCGTGCTGTGTGGGAGAATAAAGTGCTTTATGAGACAGTTATGAAGACCTAGTGTAGGGTAAGTGGTGGAGGAGCCTCAAGAAAATAGCACTTAGGCTAAGAAACAAAGGACGATTAGGAGTTTTGCATAGCAAGAGTGAGGGGAAACTGCCCAAGACAGAAGGGACAATTTATCTCAGATGTGGAGGTGAAAAGGAAAGGGAGGGTGAGAGGTGAGCAAGGAAAAAGGCAGGTAGCGTTCCATAATGAATTTGGATTTTTTTTTTTTGTACTAGGGATCGAACTTGGGACTTTCCACTTGCGAGGCCAGCGGCAGAACCACTGAGCTAAATCCCTGGCACACTGGATTTTGTCTTGAAAGAAAAAGGAAGCCATTTTCATCAGGGGAATGATACCAAATTTGGGTTTCTGAAAGGTCACCCAAGCTGCATGGCTTGGAAGGCATGGGGAGTGGGTGTGGGGAGACCAATAGGAGGCTGCTGAAGCTTTCCAGGCACAAAGTAATAGTAACTCAGACTGGGTAGTGGCTTGGGAGCTGGAGAAGGAGAGGATGTAAGAGTGGATGTGGGTGGGTGCTGAGGCATTGAAGTAACACTTGGCTTTAGTCTTGAGTCAGTGAAGGGCTGGAAGAGCCTTGGTCCCCATGGCACAGCCTACAAAAAGAACAAACTCAAGAAGATCAAAAGTTTGGCTGTTGGGCGGGGGATTTAGCTTAGTGGCACTGCACCTTCCTCGAAAGCATCAAGGTCCTGAGTTCGACCCCCAGTACTGGGTGGGGGGGAAGTTTGGCTGTGAAAAATTAAGTTTGAGATGCTTGGGCAGCATGTAAGTAGGAGAGTGTATAGCAGTTTTCCATGAGTCTGAAGAACAGAAGGGATGATACATCACAGTCCTGGGATGTTCCAAGGGAAAGAAGGTAGATAGAGAATGGGCAGAGGAGGAGGAACCAGGAGAGAAAACTGAGAAGAGGAAGGACTAGGAGAGCATGGGATCCCAGACAAGTTTTCAAGAAGAAAGGAATGTTAAGTAGGGTTAACTGCTGTGGAGGACAGAAATGATACCTTGTGTTTGGGAAGAGGATTTGTGGACTATGCCCTTTATGTTGCAAGTTTTAAAAAAATCACTTGGCTTAAAAAATAAGTAGCCTGTCACTCATTGGTAGATGGAGTGGCTTGGCAATCTGGCAATGTCATGAGACCGGGGTCATTCCATCTCTCAGTTGTCTTTTTGTTGGTTTCACGCTTATGGTCACCCTAGTTCCTAGAGTCATATCCAAGTCAGAGATGTTCATTCCTTCTCTAGTTGAGACTCAGACAGGCCTAGAAGTGGCCTTTCACCATTCTGCTGTTGACAGTGGTGGTGAGCCTGTGGCACATATGCTACAGCAGGCTGTTGGTATCATTGAAAGCTCTAAAAGGTTTGCCATCACTGGGATAAGGGGTTAATGTACCCATGCCAGGCACACCCAGTATCCAACATGAGAGGGAAAGAGAAGCCTTGTGGTGGAAACTTGTTTAGAAAAAGAGGAGGCTAAGCATTGGAAGGATCTGGAGCAATTAAATTTCTTACACACTGCTGATGGCAGAAGAAGATGATGCAACTATTTTAGAAATCACAGTGTCTAGTAATCTAAGCATGCATTTATGTTAGGATTTAAAATTTCCACTCCTAAGTACTCAAGAGAAATGAACACCTATGTCTATATAAAGACCGTGTAAGAATGTTCATAGAAGATTAATTTATAGCTCAACTGAATAGCCTAGTATCCATCAACAAGAAACTGGATCGACAAACTGTGACCTGTCCACCCAGTAGAGTTCAGCTGGCCCTCCACACCCACAGCTTCTGTATCTAAGATTTCAGCCAACCTCAGATTGAAAATATTTCAACCAACCTCAGACTGATAAGAAATGCACAGGTACTGAACATATATAAAAATTTTCTTATCATTAGTCCCTAAACAATACAATATGGTAACTATTTATATATGATACTATGTTAGGCATTGTTTCATTTAGAGATGATTTTAAGTATATGGAAGGATTGCGTAGGTTATATGCAAATACTACCTCACTTTAGGGGACTTGAACATCCTCGGATTTTGATATCCATGAGGGTTTTGGTACCTGTCCTTTCTGGATACTGAGGGACAACTGTATTTTGTCTATTGTATTAAAGAACAAACTTCTGATACTTGCCACACCATGGATTAATCTGGCATATAGTATGCAGGGTAACAGAAGTCAGGCATAAAAATAGTGCATACTGTAAGATTCTGTTCTTATATTGCAGGAAATGAAGGGGTACCAGCATCCCAGAGTGCATATGGCATGTACTGCCCAGCAAGGATCAGAAGGTGTGTTTTGGGGGGATACCACCTTCCAGTACCTCCATGCCAGGTCTGGGCTTCGGCAGGCCCTCAGTGGCCAACCCTCTTTTCCTTGGGGCTCTAGAAAACTGGAAAAAGGGACGGTGGGGTTCAAGTCTGGACTCTTTGTCCAGCATCTGCCCCACCTCTGTGCTCAGGTCCAGGTGGTAGATACACCATTCTGGAAACCTTGAGGGACCTGGAAGGGCTTTCTGCCCTGACATTTTGCTAAGCAAACCGCAAGTTCCTGCCAAGGCCTCCCCAGCGTGCTCTCCACTCTCTAGGCACCCAACCTCACTGACATCACTATCACCCAGGACCCCTGCTCTCTCCCCCACACTCCCCACATCTTCTCCTTTCCTCCTGAATCCCAGTCCTCCTTCAAGCCTTTTCTGTCCCCGTGTTGGGGTTTCCTTCAGGCCACTGTCCTCCCTCCTCTGGACCCTGCATCAGCTTCCTCTCTGCTGTAACCCAGAACCATCATCCTCCATACAGCAACAGGGACATCTTCCTAAAGTAACCCTGTCATTTCTTGGTGGGGTTTCCCTCTCCTTTGTCTTCCCCTGTCAAGATCCATCTTCAGAGCTTCGCATCAGGTGCCATCTGCTCCATGAAGCCTTTGCATTCAGTCAGCAAATATTGATTGGACATCTAAGATGAGCCAGGCCCTGTGCTGAGCATGGAGGAGAAGAGAAGACAGATGCCATCTCCAGTCTGGAGAGAAGGAAGTTGAGCAATGTGCATTTTCTTCCTATCTCAGCCCCACAAGACTCAAGCTCCCTGAGGGCAAGGCTCAATTTGGATCTGGCCTGGAGAAGATAGTGGCTGTTGCAGGAGTGAATGAAAGAAAGGCTGGGGAATGCTCCTTTCTTATTTGTGCTCCAAGCCTGTGATTTAGCCAGCAACCAGGTTCATGGAATTCAACTGAAAATGAATGACAATTTGGGGCTATATGATGAACTGAGAAGTGGTTATGAATAGGACAAACTATTGTGAAATCACAATACCAGCTTTCCTATATCATCATCCTTACAATTCCTTTTTACAAAAATCAACATTATGTTCTTACCAAGACTTGGATTCAGGAGATTCAACCTGTACTGGAACAATAGTTAAAGCACCCAAGAATCTGTGTGATATCAAAAGATGTAAAATGTACTAAGAGGGCTGGGGCGTAGCTCAACTTTAGTATGCACAGGACCTTGGGTTCAATCCCTAGCACTACAGGGGGTGGAGGGAGACAGAGACAAAGAGACAGACAAAGGTGGAAGAGGAAGAGGAGAAGGAGGAGGAGAAGTTGTTGTTGTTCTAGGGTAGCACAGACTGTAGCCAGAATGCTGCAATTTATTCCCATTCCTCATTTATTAGTTGTGTGTCCTAGTGCAATTTACTTAACCCCTTAACTCTTTATGCCTTCTTTTTCCCATCTGTAAATGAGGAAAACATTAGAGCCTATCTGATACGGTTATATACAGAAATTCAATGAGTTCACATTACAAAGTGCTTAAAAACAGCAACTGCCCCACAGCGCTCATGGCTACCTGTTATTACAAATGGATAAAATGGACTGTCTCAGACTAGGCATGCTGTGGATGCTTGTCCCTGGTTGGGGAGGCCCCATCTTAGCCTGTTTTTCTGCTGCTACAGCTAGGAAGTCCCAGAGCCTGCCACCATCCTCTGGGAGGGATCTTTAGGGGTGGGTCTTGCTGCATAGGGCATCACTTGGAACAGAGTGACCTCGGGTTTCTCATCCTTAAAAGCCACTAGTGCCATCCTGAGGATTGCACTTGCTAGACCTCATTTAATCCTAATTACCTTCCCAAAGCCCCACCTCCTATATCGTTAACATATAAATTTGAAGATTAAGTTTCCAACACGTAAACATTTTTTTTGGGGGGGGGACACATGGCGACCCCTCCCAACCGTGGCTCTTAAGGAGACACAGCCATTAGGCACAAATCCCCAACCTTTCAAGACTTTGGGAGGCCTTTTTCTTCCCGCGGCTCCTTTTTCCTACCGCCCTCACTCCCACTCCCCCCGCCCCCCCTTCCTCGGCTTTTGTACCAGCCTCAAGGCTTCCTCAATGCAAAGCAAGTGCTGTTTTAGCAAAGTCTATGGTGACACCTAGAGGTAAAATGGGGGAACTTCCCAACCTTAACTTGCCCGGACCATTAATTGATACAGTGATATATTAAACTCTTACTGCATTCCAGAGACTGTTACATGAAATGTCTAGTTAATTTTCAGTGTAATCATGTAAAATATAGACTGACTCACTAAAAACGTGAAGACCAATAAAGAAAAAAGGGACTGTTCCAGTTCAAAGGAGACTGAAGAAGTATAACAGCTAAATACCACATGTAATTCTAAATTCCACTCAAAAAGATTTGCTATAAAGGACATTATTGAGAAAGCTGGCAAAATTTTAATGTGGACCATGAACTAGATAATAGTCAATTAGATATAGTATATTGTCCAATGTATTTTCTTTTCCAATGTATTTTCTGATTTTAATGATTAGGAGAAGTCTGTGTGGACCTGACCAGCTCAGGTGCATGCAGTCCAAGCCAGGGCCCTGCCCAGACTCCAGCAGCTTGGGCCCACAGGCCCCAGCCAAAGGCCCACCTGGAAAGGAGTTGCACAGGTATGTCCAAATTCCATCAGTGGGTGCAGGCAGGTCCCAGCGAGAAGCCCACATGGACCAGAGCAGTGAGGATGTACCCAGGTCCCAGTCAGGGCCCTGCCCAGATACCAGCAGCTTGGGCCCACAGGCCCCAGCCAAAGGCCCTTCTGGAAAAGAGCTACACAGGCAGGCAAGCAACAGCCAGAGGCCCACCCAGATACCATTGGTAAGTGCATGCAGACCCTAGCCAGAAACCTGCTCAGACACCAGTGACCCAGGTGCATAACCCCCAGCCAAAGGCCCTCCCAGACAACAGCAATGCTGGGGGCAGGCCCCAGTCACAGGCACTCCCAGATACCATCCTAAGAGTGCACAGGCCCAAGCCAGAACCCCACCTGGACAACAGGGCAGTGTAGGGATTCAGAAGGGCACCATACTGAACCTAGGAATTGGCACAGTGGTGAGCAGGAGAGAAAAGCCCTCTTGGTGGCTTGTTGAGAATTGAAGACCACTGGGCAAGCAAAAAGTTGCCTCAACAAAGGCGCAGCAGGCTGCAGCTGTTGAAATGAGAACACACATAAACAAGTCTCAAAACCAGACTGCCAGATCACTTAAGGCAACCCCAAAGAGCAACGAGATAGAACAATCTGATACTCAACCACCTGGACTCCCTGAACTGTCAATGAAAGAGGATCTGGAAAAAATGAAATCAGAAATAATTTCTCAGATGACAACAGAGATTGTGACCATACTGCAAGACATGATTAATAACTCTAGAGCAGACACAGATTTAAAAAAAAATAGAGGAGCTGAGGAACATGATGGAATCCCAGCATAGGAAACAAATGGAATCCATAAAACAGGTGCAAACAGATATCCAGGAGATTAAAAACTCCATTGCAAGTTTATGCAGCAGAATGAGCCAATGTGAGGACAGAATATCAGATGTAGAAGACAGGATTGCAATTAGTGACCAGGAAAAGAAAAATTTCTTAAAAATAGTAAGGGCCAGGGCCAGGGATTTAGCTCAGTGGTTTTGCCGCCAGCGGTGCAAGTGCAAGGACCCAAGTTCAATCCCCAGTACCAAAAAAAAAAAAGAAAAAGAAAAAAAAATAGTAATGGACCATGATAAATCAATCCAGCAGCTGCTAGAGGATGCAAAGAAGAATAACATAAGACTGATCAGAGTCAAGGAAGAAACAGGAGAGAGTGCAAATGACATACAAAAAAAACTGTTCACAGAAGTAATAGCAGAAAACGTCCCAAGCAGGGGAAAAGAACTTGACATAAAAATAAGTGAGGCATATAGGACTCCAACTAGCCATGATTAAAAAAAAATTACACCGAGCCATATAATAGTTACAATTCCAGAAGGCCAACAGAAGAACAAAATTCTAGAAGCAGTTAGAGAAAAGAAACAAATCACATACAAAGGAAAGCCCATCAGAATCTCAGCAGATTTCTCAACACAAACAGGCAAAAAGAGCCTGAACTGAAGTATTTCAAGCCCTAAAAGAAAACAAGTTCCAACCCAGATTGAGGTACCCTGCAAAACTATCTTTCAAAATTGATGGAGAAATAAGATACTTTCATGACAAAGGGCACCTGAGGAACTTCATGAATACCAAACCAGCACTCCAAAATTTTTTTAACAATATCCTAGGAAAAGACAATGAGGATCACAATCCCAGGAAGCCCAGCAGAATGAATCCATCAGGCATGACAAGAAATTAAATGCAAAGGGGGAGGGTCCAACAAAAAGAAAAAGTCATGGCAAGGATAAGTAAATACATATCAGTTATAGCCATCAATATTAATGGTCTCAATTCACCAATCAAAAGAAGTAGACTGGCAGAATGGGTCAAGAGGCAAGATCCAACAATATGCTGCATCCAAGAAACACACTTAATTCAAAAAGAAACTTATAGACTGAAAGTTAAAGGGTGGGAAACAATACTCCATTTGATGGGAACTTGAAAAAAAGAAGGAGTAGCTATCCTCTTTGCAGATCTGATAGGGAAAAGTTTTAGATAACTTAGTAGATTGAATATTAAGGTAGTTGTAGAAGCAAAATAAGTAATATGTTCCTTTAAGATCTGCTTTTCCTGTAACTCTCGTTTTTAAGGTGACAGTAATCTGACTCTTTAACCAGTAACTTCATTGACCTAACAAATTTGCAATGCCTGGTTGAATTTACAATGTATATGTGCCTGTCTTGTGTCTGTGACTTGTAAATTGGAACTGGAATTGTATCTACCCGTCAAAGACCACTAGGGATGAGATAATGGCTAAAAAGGATATACAAAGGGAATCACTGAACAAAGCGGTGCAGATACTAACCAGACCAATTTCTGGCGGTCCCACCTGCTTGCAAGTAGAACTTTTATTATTTTACCCAAATTCTGTGCCTCTGTATTTCTTTCCCAGATTTCTGGAACAGATCAAATGGATTTCAAACTACCACTAATTAAGAGAGACAAAGAAGGCCACTACATCCTTGTAAAGGGAACAATCCAAGAGGAAAAGATGGCAATCATAAATATATATGCACCAAATACTAGCGCACCCAATTATATAAAACAAATACTAATAAACATGAAAAATCAAATAAGCACTAACACAATAGTGGGGAACCTCAATGCCCCACTGTCACAAATAGATAGATCAACTAGACAAAAAATAAATAATGAAATACTAGAACTCAATCAAATTCGAACAAATGGACTTAACAGATGTTTACAGAGTGTTCCACCCCACAAAATCAGAATACACATTCTTTTTGGCTACACATGGGTCGTTCTCCAAAATACACCACTTACTTGCTCATAGAACATGTTTAAGTAAGTGCAAAGGAATTGAATTTATCCACTATATATTATCAGACCATAGTTTGATAAGATTGGAGATCAATAGCAAAATAAGCCACAAGACTTTCATAAACACATGGAAATTGGACAACACACTTCTGGATAATCAATGGGTCACAGAGGACATTAAAGAAGAAATCAGACAGTTTCTACAATTAAATGACAATGCCAATACAACATATCAGAATCTATAGGACATAATGAAAACAGTCTTATGAGGGAAATTCATACCAGGAACACTTATATTAGGAAAACAGAACCAGCTCAAATAAACAACCAGATGCTGAACCTCAAGCTTCTAGAAAAAGAAGAGCAGGACAAACCCCATATAAGGGAGGAAGTTATAAAGATCAGAGCAGAAATCAATGCAATGGAGACTAAGAAAATGTTACAAAAAATCAACAAAGCAAAGATTTGGTTCTTCAAAAGCATAAAATTGACAAACCCTTAGGCAACCTTATCAAAAAAATGGAAAGAAAATACCCAAATCCATGCAATTAGGAATGAAAAGGGTGAAATTACAATGGATCCAGCAGAAATCCATAGGATCATCAATACCTACTTTGTGAACCCATATGCTAATAAGATGGAAAACACAGAAGAAATGGACAGATTCGTAGCTACATGTAAATTACCAAAGTTGAACAAAGAACTAAAAATTCTAAACAACCCAATATCAATGAAAGAAATTGAAAATATAATTAAAAACTTACCAACTAAGAAAAGCCCAGATCCTAATGGCTTCACTGCTGAATTCTACAAGACATTTCTACTGCCACTACTGTTTAAACTCTTCAATGAAATTGAAAGGGAAGCAATACTCCCAAATTCATTCCTGGAAGCAAGCATCACCTTGATCCCCAAAGCAGAGAAAGACTGAACTGAAAAAGAGAACTATAGGCCAATCTCATTAATGTAAATAGATGCAAAAGTCTTCAATAAGATACTGGCAAACAATGCAGAAGATCAACAAGAAGATCATACACCTTGACCAAGTGGGATCCATCCCAGGGATGCAGGAATGGTTCAACATACACAAATCAATAAATGTAAAACACTGTATTAATAGAGCCAAGGACAAAAGCCATATGGTCATCTCAATAGATTCAGAAAAAGTGTTTGACAAAATCCAACATGCATTCATGATAAAAACCTTACAAAAATTGAAATAGATGGTCTCTACCTCAGCTTGATAAAAGCCATGTATGAAAAACCAGCAGCCAATATCATTCTAAAAATGGTCAAAAACTGAAATCGTTCACACTAAAATTAAGAACAAGGGCCAGGATTTAGCTCAGTCGTTCCACCATCTGTGTTGCAAGTGTAAGGTCCTGAGTTTGATCCCCGGTACCCCCCCCCAAAAAAAAAGAAAGAAAAGAAAAGAAAATTGCACCCATGTGCCAAACAAATAATTTGGGCTGGGAATTTAGCTCAGTGGTGCTGCTGCCTGCCTCGCAAGTGCAAGGACCTGTGTTCGATCCCTGGTACCAAAAAAAAGAAAAAATCAGATAAAAGAACAAGACAAGGATCTCTACTATCACCACTCCTGTTCAATATAGTTTTGGAAACATTAGCCACAGCAATTAGACAAGAGAAAGAAATAAAAGCAATAAAGACAGAAAATGAAGAAGTTAAATTGTCATTATTTGCAGACAACATGATACTCTATGTAGAAGACCCCAAGAACTCCACCAAAAGTCTTCTAGACTTAATAACCAAATTAAGTAGAGTAGCTGGATACAAGGTCAACAGGCAAATGTCAATAGTTTTCCTGTACACGAACAACAGACTCACTGAAAGAGGAACTGGAGAAACAACTCCCTTCACAAAAAAATGAAGTACCTAGGAATCAACCTAGTGAAAGAAATCAAAGACTTCTACCCTGAAAATTACAGCACTCTGAAAAAAAGAGATCAAAGAGGACAACAGAAAATGGAAAGTCATCCCTTGCTCCTGGGTAGGAAGAACCAATATAGTGAAAATGGCCATACTTCCAAAACTGCTATATAGATTCAATGCAATCCCAATACACCATACTTCAAAGACCTTGAGAAAACAATCCAAAAATTCATTTGAAACAAGAAGAGGCCTAGAATAGCAAAAGCAATTCAAGGCAACAAAGACAAAGTAGGGGGTATCACAATCCCCAACTTGAAACTATACTTCAAAGCTACTGTGATAAAAACAGCATGGTACTGGCAAGGAAACAGACCCAAGGACCAGTGGAACAGATTAGAAGATGCAGAAACAACTCCAGACACATTCATCCACCTCATCTTCGACAAAGGAGCCAAATGCCCTCACTGGAGGAAAGATAGCCTCTTTAATAAATGGTGCTGGAAAAATTGGGCTTCAACTTGCCAAAGATTAAAACTAGACCTG